TATGCTATGAGTGTCTTATTTGTTGTTTGTGATGTGATGTTGATTTTATTCTTTTTGAGTGCTTATCTTGTCATATCATATGCATATCATATTGACTCTACTGTGTATTTGCATCCCACGAATGAGTACGGATGAAGGAAACTCTCCACGATTGATCCCTTATACATATGCATATGAGTTTCACTCATATCTTCCATATACATACACTAAGGGGGAGTTTGATTCACCTCTAACCATTCAAAACAAAATTTATATCAATCTTTTGTATGCTTTAACCATGTTGTCATCAAACACCAAAAAGGGGGAGATTGAAAGTGCATTAATCCCCCTAGTGGGTTTTGGTGAGTAATGACAAATGTGGTTAAGGGACTAATGAGTTTATTGAGCTACTTTCAGGAGCATTAGTCCAAGGTGTGGAAGATGGATGCTTGGAGACCCCCCAAAAGTATAAAATCAAAGCGGACCGAAACTCGAGGAGTGCATAGGATAGTTTATTTATTGCAATCGAGTTTTAGGAAAAACCATACTATTAAGAGGGGTTCCAGGTGATGCTCTGAGATGTGTCAAGTGCTCTTAGTTGAACCAAGTGACAAGTTTCCCTAGGAGTTATTTTTTCAAATACTCCATCTGTCCAAAAATGCAAGTCTGGAACTTCCTGTCTTCCAGGTCCGGAAGTTCCGGTCTTGTGAAAAAGATTTTCCTAACTGTAGTCCGGAAGTTCCTATCTTCCAGGTCCGGAACTTCCTGTCTAGTTTCCAGTTCAAAATTATGAGTAATTGCTAGATGACGTCATCTAGCCGTTATACATAACCAGCTCTTTTTTTTGCCATTCCACTTTCACTTTTCGACTCGAGAGCTGTTGCTAGCCTCTCCCAAGTGTTTCTTGCCTTCTCCACTCAATCTTGAGCCTAATACTTGTGAGAAAGAGAGATTGAGAGTAAGAGAGGAAGATTTGGAGATGTGTGAAGACTAGGATCTTGGGTGAGCACTTGGAATATCTCGTGGGCTGTCATCTCGGTGCTTATTACTCTTGGAGATGATCTCCTAGACGGTTAGGTGTCGCCCGAGAGAATCCGTTGCATATTGTGGATGTCCCGGGTAAGTTTGTGAAGGATCTCCTCTCCTCCGAAAGGGAACGAGGTAAGTTAATGAAGTTCTTGTGCTAAGATTCTAGAGGTTTTCCAAGTAGAGCAACTCACACTTGTGGCGAATTTCTAGAAGTAGGTTGAGTTGGATCTTGGTGGTCACTCAATTCTAGAAATTTGCCTAGGGGTGTTTGGGGTTGAAGGCTGTGGATTTCTTCTGGGGTTTTTGCACAAGTGAGGCAAGGGGTTAATTGAGACCCAGCTCTTTGGAGCTCCTCAACGGAGAGTAGGATTGCAAGATCCGAACTTCGGGAAAAAAATCGCTCTTGTCTCTTTCTGTGATGTTTCTGTCGATGTTTCTGTGATCTATCCTCTGCTTAGAATACATGTGCATCATCTTGTAAAGATTGGCTTAGTCTGCTGTTCCGAAATTTGAATTTCATCTTTGTTCTATTACCCGGAAGTTCCTGCCTAAGAACACCGGAAGTTCTGGGCCTGGCAGACCGGAAGTTCCGGTGTTCCTTAACAGGAAGTTCCAGGTCTGTTTGAATTTTACCGCTGCGATTTGTTTTTAAGTTTTCAGGGACAGCCTATTCACCCCTCCCCCTCTAGGCTTTATCAGCACGTTCAAAGTGCTGCAGCGGTATTCTGTGCGCTTGCGGATTTATCTGTGGTCGTAAGAAATACCAACAATGGATGAGCCTCCCACATCAATCAGATGAGACCGCATGGTTCCAGGTAATCCTGGACGTACCTCGGTCTCGATGTTGATTCATGTGCACGCCTACACAGCCATGTGACCACCTCCACGTTGAGTTGCCACCGCCTAGGTCTTCCTGTCTTCTAGCCCACTTGACATCTCAGCAAAGCCACCAAGTACAGCCCCTTAGGGCAATGAACAATGCAATACACAACTAGAAGGAATCTCAAAGTGCCACTTAGGATAAAGAACTTTGAAGCCACATAGTCTATAAATACGGGCTACTTATGGTGGGACCTACAAATATTTGATTTTTCAATACCAAAATTTTGCACTCAACACCCTAGACTCTAGAAAAGAAAATCTCTCACCTCCCTCACCTATTACCCTCACCCAATTCGTTCTCCACATCTGGCCTCCATACTCAATCCCCTCTCTCTCCCACCGCCGCAGTCTCTCCCTTCCTCTAGCCTTGTGCCAATGCTGGCACCACCTCACCCCTCCACACCCCCTGCTAGCACCGCCAATATTCTCCTTCCTGCACCCAACGAGATCATCTCCTCTTCACCACCCAACCCCGGTCGAGAAGCCGAGAAGGGCTCGGCAACTAGCTAGCGCAATAATGAGGAGGTGGAGCTTGCTCCTCAACAGAGCAGGGCAAGGAAGCCTCCCTAGTTCCCGATGTCGCCGCCATCCCCATTCAAAGTTGTGTTCAAGGAGATCTCGAGCACCGCTACTTGTCGCCCCTTCCAACATCTTCCCCATGTGAGCTCAAGCTCCACCACCAACCGTCGGCCCTAGCTATAGATGGCCAAATGGGCCGCCTGGCACGGCACGACCCAGGCCCCGCCGTGCCTGGGCCGAGGTTAGTCGGGCCGGCACGGCCCGACCTATATGCCGGGCCGTGCTGAGCCAGCCCACGCGCTGGACACACAGCCCAGTCACAACCCAATACGACTCATGCCGGGCCGGCCCGGCCCGAAGGCACGACAGCCCATCGTGCTTCTCCACCGGATAAGTCTATTTTTCGTCCCTCAACTATGTGGGTTGTGTCCATATGGCCGGAGCGCCGCCGCCCCTCTCCGCCCGAGCTCCGCCGGCCGCCTTCCGTCGTCGTCTTGCCATCGGGCGCTCGGTGAGCATCTCCCCTCCAACCACTCACCTTCCTCCGCTGCCTCCCGGCTGTGCCGCCGCGCCGGTGGTCGCTGCCGGTGACCGTCGCGCCGCACGTCGCCGCTCCCCGGCCGGCCGGCCGGTGGGCCGGTTCCTGCTCGCCCGTGACCTCCCGATTCACCCCGGGTGGATCTGGGCCGTCCACGTGGCCCTCCCCGTGCCGCCCGGTGTCACTGCCCTTGTGGCACCACGTCGGCGCCACCTCGTCCTCCCCGTCCGCCGTGACCACCACGTGGCTGCCACGTGGTGCGCCCGTGGGCAACGCGCGCGTGGACCGAGTCCACCGTGCGCCGACCTTTTTTGAGCTACCGATAGGTGGGGCCCGCTTGTCGGCGCCACCTATTCCCCTCGGTGAAGTCATAAACCATTAATAATTGCGAATAAATCATTAATAATTTTAGAAATTCATTTAATGGCTCAAAAACCTTCTAAAATTCATATCTAATTCATACGAACTCCGAATTGAGCCATTCAAGTTGCAAAATTCATGTAAAATTGAGTTCTACATGTTTGTTTACTTTTTATGCACTGTTTCCTTGGTTTTTATTAGTGTTTTTCCTCGGTTTGCGTGCTAGCGCGTAGATTTTCACGTTTCAAAAGATCGCGTTCGCAAGGATCAGAGTTCAGAAGATCAAAGTGAAGAAGCAAGGCAAGTCACACATTCCCCCTCAAGCATATTGAGCCTACTCTACGAATGTTTTATTGTTTGCAAATAAATATGCATGTTTTGCTAATTACATGGGAATAGGGTTTACCTATCTGCTCGCTTGTGCCTTGTTTATTTGATATCTGTCCTTTGTTAACCTTGGGTAATAAATCGAATAGCTTGTGTTACTTATGTTAACCTAGCTAGAACTATATGCTTAGCCATGCTTAATTACCACTAGCTCAGTTGATGGGATAATTACAGTATTAGACCTTTTTAGTATCAGAATGAATTGCGTGCTCGAGACATCTGGCCATGCTTCATGGTCGTAATTATCCAACTAAAATGCGACTAAGTGGTGGGCTGTGGGTGCATGGTTTTGCTAGTCGCACCCATGACAATTAAGGACCGGTTCGCGGGAAACCCTGAAAGAATTCCTCGTACTTACCACAAGCCAGCGTGGGCAACGGCTGGGCTTGTAGTGTACCTTTCCTCTAGCCGACGCATCCAGGCAAGGGTGGGCGTGATGGAGCGGGGCGGGCCCTGCGACGGCCTTTGTCGCTTCCGGATTCACCTAGGCACGAGAGGGGACTGCCCGTTGCCCGCTGGGGATGAGGGTAAAACCTGAGGTGTGGTGTGCTTGGCTAGATAGGGGGTTATGCGAAGGGTCCTATCACAGCCTCTTTCCGGTATGTCGTGGTGGCATGTCGGCGCATGGTAACGTGTCGTGGGGCTGTGTCTTGTGGGTACAGTTGTACACCTCTGAACAGAGTAAAACTATTCGAATAGTCGTGCCTGCGGTTATGGGCGGTCGACCAGATTCACCGTGATTAGTCTCACCTTAATAAATCGACTCAATGCACTGTAGTTTAGGTGGGTTGGTTGGGCCTGTTCAACATGGTGTAGCGTTGATCAGTGGAGATTTAATGTTACTTTAATTACTCAATAGTTTTACTGTTTTGTTCAATAAAATGTTTTACAACTGCCTTTATGCAAATAGCCACAAGCCATCTCTGTATCCCGTTGCACGTTTGCATCATTGGTGTGGCTTGCTGAGTACGGTGGTGGTACTCGGCCTTGCTATTGTTCCCTCTTTTCAGAAGTGTAGTGCTTCTGAGTTGAAGACGAAGTTAGAAGACCAAGGCTCAGACCCCAGTTGAGTTTTGCCTGTGGAGTGGAGCTGAAGCCCCACTAGGATCGCCTTTTTCCTCTGCTGCTGCTTTTGTTTCTGTGTGAGGACTAAGCGCCTCTTATGTAAGTATTTTACGCTTTATTTACGTTTGGAACTGTATATAACTTGTCGTTTTGTGTACCCTGGCTGGTCCTGAATAGGGATTTAATACACAAAATAGTCTGGAAATTTGGGTTAAATTTCTGGGCGTGACAGGGAAGAGGAATGGCGGCGGGGGTGGGGAGACTGCGCCGTCCACTGCCTCCATCTTCGCGCCTCCGCTCCGACCTCGCCGACGCCATCCACTGCCTCGACCCTCACGGCTTTGCTCCGACCACGCTGACGCCATCCACCAGCGCCTGGCACGTGGACGCCCGTGGCGCCGTCACGTTGCACACGAACCGCGCCGCCCCCACCTCCGCCGGTGACACCGCCGCCATGCAGAGGAGCGCCACTAGCACGAAGACGAGGGGCATGGGGAAAAGGAAGTATAAGGAAGGAGAATGGGTTGTAAGAGGCTGACATGTGGGTCCCACTGTCATAAACTCAGAATAGAGGGTGAATGGAGAGGCTGTTGAAGTAAACCACCGGTTTGACTCTCCAAATTAGATGGAGAGTTGACCAAATAGATATTTGGAGAGTTAATTAGATTTAGAGAGATTGTTGGAGATGCTATTAGCGTCTACTCCATACGGTGGTATTTTCGAGCAGAGAAACACTGGCCAGTAAGGCCTTGCTCCAAATCTCGGCGAAATGAAATGCAACTAAGTTGGGCCCGTTCCAGACATTTATAACCGGCTTGGCTTAAAAGGCCAGAAGCCAGGTCATCATGTCAATTTCTTGTGGAATAAGTTCACTTCAGGTCCCTCAATTGTCACCGAATTCGAAATTTGTTCCTACACCATAAAACCGGATAATGCATCTCCCCAACCTACAAAACCATGCAAACGATATCCCTTGGCTGTATTGTCCCTGGTTTTGGCTGATGCAGTGCCTACGTGGCACTCCATTGACTAGATCTTCGTCCCACGTGAAATTGACGTGGCACTAACGTGGCAATTCGATCCGAAAAATAATAAAACCCGTGGGATCCACGTCAGTTACACACAAAAAATGATAATATATGGTGGGCCCATGTGGCCCCACATGTCATCCTCGCTACTCCCCTCTTCTATCAATCTATCTTTTTCTTTTCTTTTTCATTCGTTTTTTTCTTTTGCTTCTACTACTAGATGACATCCGGCGACCGGCGGGAGCACCGCGCTGGCGGAGAGGCGACCGGCGGGAGAGGAGCGGCGGGCGCGTGGCGGTCGACGGGAGAGGATCAGCAGCGCATGCGGGCAGACGGGTGGGAGGGGGAGGAGCAGCGGCGCGTGCCGTGCCGGCGGAGAGGGCGGCCAACGAGAGCGCCGCGAGGGAGGAGGCGAGCTAGTCAGGGCGGCCAGCGGGAGAGGAGCGGCGGCGCGCGGGGGCCAGCGGGAGAGGAGGCAACATGCACCGGCCGGCGAGAGGGAGGGAGAGGAGTGGTGACTCGCCGGCCTATCCGCCCTGGTCGGCATCCCTGTCTCCTCCCTCCCCGCTTGTCCCTATGCAATCCAGTGAAGAGCTAGAGGAAATAGAAAGGGTGGAGGAAGTGGGACCCACTAACATATGGGTCTCACTATTTTTTTTGAAATTATGGGTGGGTCCCACATATTTTATTTAATTTTTTAGTTTTCAGTTTTGCTCATTTATTTTTTTTCGGATCAAACTACCACGTAGGTGCAACGTCAGCTAAACCGGGGTCAACACAGCCGACAGGCCTCGTTTGCACTAAGTTGGAGGACGGGTCGTAACCAGTTTTCTGGACCGAGGATGAAAATCAGACTGGGGACAATTTGAGGGCCTAAGGTGAACCTATTCCATTTCTTGTCTCCATGTGTCCTCCTTGGGCCTCTGCCCTGGGCTTTGTTGTATCTTTGGTGTTACTGTGTGTTGTCGTGTTGATCAGGCCTGGAAGGTTGTCTCACTAAAACAAATTCCCTAGCTAAGCAGCCCTGGATTTTATATAAAAAATAATAATAATCTGACAAGCTCTCTACTACTGGTAGTTTCACATGTTAGTTATTGTGCCCCCATTGATTGACGAGGATATTACCATGAATATCATACATGTTTGTAGGAATTTTACACTTACGCTACTTCATTATTCCAGTGGAAGGGTTCCTTTCTAAAACATAATATTTTATATGATTTCGTACTCCTTCGAAATTCCACCATTATGAATAGCAAAATAAGGTAAGTTTTTGTCCTCTTATTCGGCACCTTAAAATTAATTTATTAGATTTTATGTTGAATATGTGTAAAAAATAGGTTACAATCTATAACTTAAAGTTGTACTATGTGTAAGGATAGAGTAAGAGTCAGCCTCTTTCCTAGGTTCTCTCTTAAACAGAGATAGACATGTTATATACGCATGACGACTTAGTATAGGCTTGATGATGAGGACATTGCTCCTTTGGATACGCACCAGACTAAGAGATGGAGATCCAATTTATATCAAGCTCGAGCCCATCTCGTCACCCAGAGGCAGCCCACACTCAAATCGCCGCCCAGGCCTCATATGGACTCCATTTTTTTATGTTCTATATAAGTATGGAAAGCTAATGAGACCACATTTTCAATGGGATTGGTTTCACGTCAAAATTTCTTCCAAGTCAATAGGAATCCAAAAACAAGAGAGCTTCCAGAATCTGTCCGAGTGCTGCGTCACCATCTTTAGGCCCGTTGGGCCATGTATCGTGTCGGAGTCCATTAGGGATACATCCAGGGGTCCTAGGTCAACCCTAGAATCTATTTAATCAATAGCCATCATCGACATCGAATTAGGGTTGAGTTTTGCTTGGATTATTATGTCATTGCAGTTTCTTTGTTCATCGATTTGTGGAACCCCAACTTGTGAGACAATATATTTAGATTGCACCTTCTACCCTCTTGATTGTGTTCTCGATTCGCTTGTAGGAGATAGCCTTATCGATGAGGTTAACCATATTTTGGCTCGGTTGATAACCAGCGAAGGGGTGGTGTAGTGATTGCGAGGGGTTTGGTCATCCTGATCGGAGCCTTTGGATCATCAACGTCAAGTCTCTACAATTGACTTATCTATTACATAACGGAAGATCGAGACCCTAGTCCTCATGACGAGAGGGAACAACTATCGGCAACGTCCGATCAAGTGTCGTTGTAACTCTAATACATTATAATTATGCTGGATCGGGGAGGAACACCCGTAATAAGTACCCTGGAGATGTAGATTTTGGGTCAAATCCGTTATAAAATATCGTGCCTCAATATCATCATCAGTTTTAGATCTCAATAGCTTTCTTCAGTATTTGGTTATTTAAGGTGATTTCGAATCAGTTTTATAACAAATTCTTACTACTCGCTCTGTTTCATACTGTAAGACATTTTGAATTTGTTCTACGTTAAACTTCTTCAAGTTTAACTGAATTTGCGGCAATATGTATAACACCAAATTAATTTTATTAAATTCTCTGGTGAATATATTTTTATATCATATCACATTTGTTTTATGTTAGAAATATTGCTACATTTTTTAATAAATTTAATTAAATTTAAAAAAGTTTGAATTAGAATAAATATAAAACGACTTATAACATTTATATGATTCCGCAGCATTGTTTTAAACTTGTGAATGCGTCCATGTTCAACGGTGGGATCCACCGCCAACAGGAACAGCTCTTGTCAGCGTTGATGTTGCCATCTTTCGAGCTTCTCGCTGGATGGGTGTAGGTTTAATTTTTGCGTGACCACCATATGGTGCTTGTTTGCTTGCCTGCATGCAGTGAGCAACAATCTCTATGAGTGATTGATTGTTAACCCTAACTTGCTGAAGCCATGGAAATCTGACAAGAGAGAAGTTTCCTTTCAGAAGGTGATCATGGCTTCAGACTCTCTTTTATGCATGCATGTTAGTAGTCGTTTGTCGAATGTTGTATTGTTGTGGCACACACATCAGCGAGTTCACCACTTATGTCCTACGATCTATAATACTGAAGTGTATCCGGGAGATACTTTGTTCTTATGCTTCTTAATCAATGAAGTGTTATAATTATCTTAAGAAAATGACTTATAACATGAAACGGGGTAGTGGTTTCTACCATGAAGCTACCCTCCAGACATTTTGATGACCAATTCCTAACCATGTGTTCAACCTACCCCTCATAAAATCAAATTTCTACCTTCAGTTTCAGGGTTATTTTGGAATTTGGACTGAAACATGAATTGATGAAAGAAGAGGAACCTTTTGCGCATCGCTGGTAATGCCAATTAGTTTACAGTAGTACGAGTAGTTTGCTTGCGCACGCCTGCAAGTAAGTATGATTAGGCTATTTGAGAGCCTACCTTGCTTAGGACAATGACACGGTGGATTAGATGCCTTGCCGAAAATGACATCTGTTGATGTTTCTGTCCTTGCATCATCGGCAGCTGCCCCCACACAAATGCTGAACGAAACAGCATGTTGAAAACCAGAACAATTCAAGAAACAACCTCTATTTTGAAAGGACTGACATGTTTAAACATTTCATTTGTTTTCAGTCATTCAGAGTACAAATACCTCTATTTTGAAACCCAATACCCGTCCAGAATTAGTCTGACCTTCATAAGAAATGTGTCAACTGATGTTTCTCATCAACAATAGAGAAACAAAAAAAAATTGCGTTGCTGATCTGTGTAGACTGATGCATGAACACTCAGAAGAAATGCACATCTGATTTCTTTTTTCTTTTCTGAAGAACTGAAGTGCATACCTGATGTCACGATGGCAACATAAGTTTTTTTTTTAATGGGGGTTACCTGCAAGCTTCCGTACTTCGTTGATGCAACCCACAAGTTGATGCTACTCCTTATCCCCCATGTTGAATTGTTCCAAGAAATCATATCTTCAGTGAGAAAATTTCAAACTATATTCCTTAGTTGTTTGCTCACCTTACAATCTTCCTCCTAAAGCCTGTAACCTTTTTGTTCCATTCCCATCAGTACAAGCTTGCATATTTCTTTCTCACTATTTCTGTACTGCTCTTTGCCAAGACCTGTACTACCCATAGCCTAAACACACGCTAGTAGATGCCATTGATTACGACAAAAATTGCTGCAATTTGCAGGTCTGAATAAGAATTGGATCGAGTGATTAAGAGGGAAAGTACCAGCATGTCTTTCCTCTTTCAGATACATGTGGAGTGGACTGGATAATTAAACAACCTCGCACATCGGCATCACAAAACGTCAGAGCATAAGGTGTGCAGTGCAGTGTGCTGGTCTGAAACCAAAATTAAAATTCCATGATTAATATGTGAAGGCACAAGGGATTTGATGGAGGTATATTCCTGCTCTGCTACGTCACCGCAAGAATCTCCAGTAGTTTAGCCCTGATGCTTACTTTGGGCTCATGTCTTATGTGCCAACCTCCAATTTGTCCAACGCAACATGGGCGCTATAATAATACATGTATTAGTTGGTTATTCAGAGTTGTGCTTCGATTTGGAATTCATAATAATACTAATCAATCTTATACTCCCTCCATAGAAAAAAAGAACTTTGATCTGCCTTTGAATCTGGATATAGGCTATGTCCAAATTTATAGCAAAAAATTCACGGTTTTTCGGATGAAGGGTGTAGACCAGTACATGTGGTGCTAGCTCTATTATTTTTTACTTTACGTTTTCATGGTCTTCAAGATCCAACTTCTGCTATTACTTTTCATTATGATAAAACAATGAAATCATAGTACTATAAAATCATCCCTAACCAAATAAATTTACTGATATAACTTTTATAAATAAAATTAGATAGTTTGAAACATTTTAGTGCCCAAACATTTGGAAGGGTTGACGGCACGGATTCGAGAACTTCAAGTAGAAAAACGGAGTCAGTATCCCATGGAGTTCCCCTCATGCCAAGGCAGAAATAAGATTATTATGGAAGGCAGTAACTGTCTCTGCTTTAATTTAATCTTGTGATGTTGTCTCATTGCTTAAGATATCGGCATGGTTGCGTTTTGTTTAATAATAGATCAAATGAGCCATGATTGCGTCTAAATTCATTCATCAAAGTCACATTATCATGCAACGTTCGATGATAGTAGCTTGCGCTCTTACCACAGCTTACACTTTTTCCCTGGTATTTGGAATTTAGATTGTTCTAAATCTCACCTCAGTATGAACATGGAAAATTATCAAAGGATTTGACAGACAGAAGATGAATTCATATACTGAAACAATAGCTACTGAAAAGTAAATAAAGTTACTGAAAATGATATGAACTCAGTAGTCAAAGATACCACTGTCTTCAGTGTCTCTAGCTAGTTAACCACAGGTGTTATCCACTTTTTGGTATTTGCAGTCTAAGAACTGCCCACTAGTTTGTAAGAATTTTAATGTGAAAGGTGCTACCATCATTTGCAAGTGCCAGAATCTAATTAGATTTACACAACCTTACTCAAACCATAAAGAGAACTCCAGGAATCCGTTTCTTAATGTATACTACTTGCATCAAGAAACTATATGTAATTTCACCTCAACTACTATAATGGGTAGCACGTTGAAATCCAAAGCAGGTCAATAACTCGCATAGTGGAGGGGCTGATTAACTAGCAACACTATGAAATGAGCACGGGTAGATAGGTGAGCCACCCCCTAAGTGGAAGTTTAAGACTAGAAAGGAAGAAAATGAAGCCACTGAAAGCTACAGAGGAATTAATTAGCAACTTGCTTCAGTACAGTGCTCTCAATGATTACCACTATCATCTGAACTTACAAAGCAATTCCTGCACTTGTTTACCTCACCAGTCATTGGATGAGACTGTAATCTGGTAAAAGTTAATTTGGAGATGGCATCTGCAGGCTTTTTCTTTTTTATTCACGTAGTGAGAAAGACAAACATCAGTGAGTAAATTTGTGTCGATGATGAGAGGAAAATTGGACAGATGCCTGGTGATAGAACTGCTGGCTTGGAGTCTTATAGTCACCATTGTATCTTCCGAAGTGCAAGGAAGAAGAAAATATTGTGTACAGTGCCTTCAGAATGGAGGATTGATCTATGGACTGGAGTAAGGATGCAGCAATTATAAAAGACACACTGCCGTCTAAACAGTTTCTGAACTTCTACTTGTGCACATCTCTGAATGACAATTTTACAGTCGCCATCTGCATCACAAATTTGGAGGGTTTGGACTTTGGAGGAAAGCAAAAGCTGCTGTCCTCTTCTCTGATTTCTCATCTCTGCCAATAACTAGCAGCAAGCAAGAACCTCCAATATATATACCCTTTACAAACACTGGAAGAACCTTTGCTCACAAAGGTTAACTGAGAACCTGAAACTCGTTTGCTCACAAGGGAAGCTGCAACTTGCAACCACACATTTTTTATAAATATTCCATAATAAGCATAAGAAAAAGGCAAACTCCTGACCTAATGAAAAGAGCACATTACTCTTATATTCAGAGACTGGTCTAATCTAGCCATGAGAAGAAAAGAAAAACATAATGCGTTTCAAAAATCAAATAAAATAAAACGCATCGCCGAATTTGGGACGAACATTTGTCGACAGGTGATAGACTGAAACTGAGGTCATCTTACCTGTCATCATGGGGGAATAATCAACAAAAAGAAAAAAAAAATGTATGAACTGCCTATGGCAGGAGGAGTATATGCTGGTAGCTAGTATGCAAGAAGCCAATGAGAATGTGTATCTATGTATATATCTGTGCAAGGGGAGAGAGAGTTGTCCCCACAAGAGAGGCCACATGCACCTGTGATGGTGTCATTTGGGTACCAATCATTTGAGAGATTTTAGTGTGGATCCAAGGAACAAGTAAACATAGGTATATGTACCAACTAACAACAAGTAGCATCGATCCATCCCCTGTCGCCTTCCAACCAAACTGTTCATTTCTGCATCAGAAATGCTGTGCGTGCATGGCGGCCTCATGCAATTTAGTTTTCCAGTGCCAATGGCGTCACTAGTTTTCGTTTAGTTTATATATGCCAGAAGTACGGAGTTGGATTGTATTATATTATACTACCTCCGGTTACCACTTACCACTAATTTCTATGGTAGAACACTTGAAAAAAAAACTGTAAAAATTATAATATTATGAAAGTTCTTTTTGGGCGGATCTATGCAAATGATTTTCATACATCCCATCTAAATATTTAGAAATATATTGATATCCAAAATTTTGAAGTAATTATCATGTTTCGATTGTTTTCAGGACCTGAGGAAGTAATTATCATAACTCGGTTGAACCAGAGTAGTGTTTATTCAACTACGAAAAAAGATGAGTAGTACCCATTTGTTTTTTAATATATGATGACATTGACTTTTCAACATACTTTTAACAAAATTATCGTTTATTGAGCAGTAACTGTTTTATTATTAAAAGTATTTTATTACTTTATACGTGACGTATATTTTTTATATTTTTACAAATTATTTTGAATAAGACGAATGGTCAAACATACATCATTCAAAAATCAACGGCATAATATATAAATAAATAAACGGAAGGAGTAGTTTAATTACATAACATAATGGTTTCTTCGATCCCAATCATTGGAGCAACCAGCTTAGTCAGTCCTGAGTCCTGACTAGCATAATTCAGAATTAGGGGTCTTTTGGATTGAACGAATTTCAAAGAAATATTAGAGGCATTCTTGGAATTTTTTTTCCTATAAGATCATGTGAAAACGGAGGAATTGAGTTTGCAAAATCTTATGTGTTAGTTTCTTCTATAGAAAAATAAACATGGGGGGTTCTAGCCCATGTTTTCATTTCTTTTGAGAAGTTCCAATACACCTACTATGTTTGGGGAGTGGATTTTAAACTCTCGACCGGACATCCTGTCGTTGTTTGCATGTCAACCAAATAGTAATGAAAAAAATTAAGAAGATAAATTAATATGTGATATATCACTCTATAAGCATGCAAGTTAAAATTCAAAGTTGCAGAAAAAGAACAAATTAAACTATACCTAATTAACATATATTCACATTCATTTTTTTGGCAACTTGCTGAAGTTGAATTTGAAAGTGATATATCGCATATTAATCTATCTTCTTTTTTTATAACTATTTAGATAGCATGTATACGGTGAGGGGATTTCCTTTCGAGAGTGTAGAATTGTTTCCCTCCCTCTCTTTGGCTCTCTACAGTAATTCCTTCAAAATTCATGTGTTTTTTTTTGCGAACTATCCAAAGCCACTGCTTCTAGTATTTACTCTCTCCGTCCCTAAAAAACCAACCTAGTACTGGATGCGACATATTATAGTACTATGAATCTGGACATATCTCTGTCCAGATTCATTGTACTGTAATAATATAATATGTCATATCCATTACTAGATTCACTTTTTTTTTGGGACGAAGGGAGTATGTGTTTTGAAATCATGTATGCTTCTATATCATACATGACAAAGCTATTCATGTGTGTTCCTATTTCTTCAAAATCCTGCATCGTAAAGGAGCTCGTAGGGTGTTAAGAATCATAAGGAACCATGCATAATCGCTAGAAACTCAATAAAGTATAATGGTGTATTGCAGGGAGCCGTATGCGCCAAAGATGCAGGGAATATGTCAGTTCCACGAGGGCACAATCCTAAAATAATCCCTCAAATATCACTAACAAAATCCAATTTAATTTGCTGGTCCTCCTCCATTTCATCAAACCCTAAACTAAGAAACAAACAGCGCCCTAGGCCAGGTCAATCAAATATCAATCCAGCGCCAAGAACACAAGAGATCGACCGAGCAAGAACTCATCAGCTTTTATCATCAATCGATCTTGCCTTCTTGGCTTCTTCCATTTTTGCAAGCTCCATGCGTAGTATTATTCTTGCGCAGTGATCTTGCATGAAGGAGATGAGCTACCATGAGGAGGAGCGCCATGGCGGCAACGGCTTGGACTGGTTCGAGGAGTCCATGTCCTCTTTGCTCGCCGCCGACGTCGACCTCGCTGGTGGTGGTGGTGATGCAGGCGGCGGCGGCTACGCGTGGTGGTGGGCTGCTTCGCCGGCGGCGCAGCAGGATGACATTGGGAGCGTCGTGGCGCAGACGCTGTCGCCTCCGTCGACGGCGGCACCGGCCGCGGCGTCGCCGAGCATTGCGTCGCCCGCGGCGTCGTCGCCGTCGGACGTCCCGTCGTCGTCGTCCAAGAAGCGCAAGTCCCCCGCGCACAGGGCGCCCGGGCACACCGGCGGCAAGAAGGGGGGCGGCGGCAAGGGCGGCGGCGGAGGGTCCGACCGGGACATGAGGTGGGCGGAGCAGCTGCTGAACCCGTGCGCGGTGGCCGTCGAGGCCGGCAACCTGTCGCGCGTGCAGCACCTGTTCTACGTCCTCGGCGAGCTCGAGTCCTTCTCCGGAGACGCCAACCACCGCCTGGCCGCGCACGGGCTGCGCGCGCTCGCGCGCTGGCTCCCCGCCGCCGTTGGCCCCGCGGCTGCAGCGGCCGTGCGGGTGCCGCCCTGCTCCGAGCGCCCCACGACGGCGTTCGCGGCCGCCGAGCCGCGCCTGTTCCGCGCCTCCCTCATCAGGTTCCACGAGGTGAGCCCCTGGTTCGCGCTTCCCAACGCGCTGGCCAACGCCGCCATCGCGCAGGCCTCGACGTGCGGCGCTGCCGGGGCGACGCCCCGGCCGCTCCACGTCGTCGATCTCGGCGTCTCCCACGGCGTGCAGTGGCCGACGCTCCTCGAGTCGCTCACGCGGCAGCCGGGCGGCCGCGCGCCGCCGTCCGTCCGCCTCACCGTGGTCGGGCCCGGGGCCACGGCCACCTCCCCGGTGGCGCCATTCTCGGCGTCGCCTCCCGGGTACGACTTCTCGCCGCACCTCCTCCGGTACGCCAAGTCCATCAACCTGGACCTCCGCATCTCCCGCGCCGCCACCCTGGACGACGCCGTGCCCGGCGACGACGGCGAGGCGCTCGTCGTGTGCCTCCAGTTCAGGCTCGGGCACGCCGCCGCCGAGGAGCGAAGAGAAGTCCTCCGCAAGGCGAGAGGCCTCAATCCGGAGCTGGTCGTCCTCTCGGAGCTCGACTCCGGCGTCGGCGTCGTCGGCGGCGACGGCGGCAGCGCGGCGGGCGAGTTCGCGGCGAGGCTGGAGCTGCTGTGGCGGTTCCTGGAGTCGACGTCGGCGGCGTTCAAGGGGAAGGACGTGGAGGAGCGGCGGCTGCTGGAGGCCGAGGCCGGCGCGATCCTCGCGGCGGCGGACGTCGCCGCCGCTGGGGAAGGGAGGGAGGGGTGGAGGGAGCGCATGGCGGCGGCGGGGTTCGAGGAGGCGCCGTTCGGCGCGGAGGCGGTGGAGTCCGCCAGGTCGCTGCTCCGCAAGTACGACAGCGGGTGGGAGATGTCAGCGCCGTCGCCGGCGGCCGCCGCGGTGGCGCTGCGGTGGAAGGGGCAGCCGGTGTCCTTCTGCTCGCTGTGGCGGCCGGCGGCGTAGCGGACGAACAGGTGACGTGGCCATGGGAGAGCGACGTGACCGGGTTGATTTGATCAGGGCCGTCCGTTACTAAGCGCTACGGCGTGATGGGACGCACGATGAGGCCACACACAGCTGTGCTCCTCTCGAGTTTATTCATATGCGTGTCTGGTTTGGCCGGAGAACGCCGGCGGCCGGCGGCCGGCGGTCGGCGGCGGCGGCGGGCGGCCGTCGATGGATGAGTGACGGCTGCAAGCATTTGGCGTTTGGCATTAGCCATTTTTGTGCAAATTAATTGATTATTAAAGGCCGATATATTTAGCTACTGTTATATTGTTTCCTTCTTCCGTGCTGCATTTTGAGCAGATCAATACTCCCTCCCTCCTGTAATACAAGCAGTTTTGGATGGATGTGACGCATTGTATTCAGATTTATTATAGTATGATGCATCACATCCAACCAAAATCACTTATATTATGAGACGAGAGAGTAGCAGATAGTTGTTTTTCGCCCATTTGTTGTTGGCATGTAAATAGGACTTCCATGCAATTCAAGCGATCGATTGATCACAGACAGAATCAGTTGGTAAAATTTTAATCTCTTTTGTCATTTTTAAACTGAGGGCGCATGTGTTGCACAATGATGTACTTACTATACTCCTAGAATATCAAAATCATGCCATGTGATGTATAATTACTGTTATCAGAATCAACTGAACACTCAGAGAGTAAATAATACTCCGTAGGACTACTTGGCACATTTTTTTGCTACAGATTCTCCCTCTGAGAAGATGTAGTGTTACCTGGGGTTCTGCAAAGTTAGTTTGCAAGTAAAAGGCTAAAAGCTAATGGTTATATTTAAAATGCTTCAGCTGCACCTACTCTCAAAATTTCCAGTCCCTCCACCCGAAGAAACAGATCAAATTATTACAGTTTTTTTTCCGGCTTTTGGATTATTGCATTACATCATCTTAATTTTCTGACCTTTGGATAATCAAATGTATGAATTATACAAAACCAGGGTTCACTCTATCGGTTGACGCTTTTGTATCGGGGGTCACCGAAATCCCGAAATCTCCGAAATTTTGAGCAAAATTTAGCTGCACTAGGAAGGTGGCCCGCACGCATGCACGGGCACTTATATTATTGAATGGTAAGATTTTTATTATTTGTTTAAAAATTTTATCTCATAGATTAAGGAAAAACTAAAGTTTGGATATTGTTATTTTGTAATAATTTTTATAATAATTTAAGGGTTCTATTTTTCTTAAGGTATCTTAAAAATCCATTCACAAACTTTTGAGTAGGAGATGGATTAAGTACTTACAACTTTTGAATCATGTTTCTTTCTCGAGTAAATAGTAAACTATTGCTTGTAGTATGGCTACAAATGAAAAATGTGAGAGCAAGATACTCAAAATTCTTGTGATTAAATCGTCTCATGAGGGCGCATGATATAATAAGAAAGGGAGAGAAGCGTATACATGGAGAAAAAGAAGAAAGGGAAAAATGAAAATGTGGAGGGAAAGTGTAGGTACCCACGTACGTAGGTGTATACCGAAGGTGGGGAGGTGGGACCTCATATATTTAGTTCGTTCTAAGATTGGTTTATAATATTGGACCCACCGATTTCTAATATTTTCTCTAATTTATTAGAGCACCACGTGGCAGCTTGGGGGCATTTTAAGAAATTTTAATGGACTTACCACATGTGATTAGAATATTAACCATGTAATATATATGTATGGGATATATGTTAATATTCGTTCTAGCTTCGTCCATGTTTATATACATGTAGAGATAAATTAAATATGTTGCTAGCAAGCCATTAGAAGTCTAATCAATAGCAATTAATTTTGACATCTATTTATAATTGTTCATAGTAGCTCTTACAGATTCATCTTACGATCTTGATTATGCGTTGATCACCAATTTATTGATCACCATGACTCGCATGAAAAAAAAATGTACTACTTAGGGTTTAGGACAACTGAAATTGAAATTGATGAATTATCTTATTTATGTGATAGCTATTTGAGATTATAAACAAATGAATTAACTTCTAAAAAGTTAAAAAGTTGTTTAAAAAAAGCACCATTTAGGAACTTGGAAAGCGTGGAGCATGCAAACAAAAATCCAAAAGATGGAATCAGGAAATAAAAAAGGGCCTTAAACTCCTTTGTAACATTCTTGTGAGAGTTCTATTGATATTCATTAATATTAATATTGTGCTCATATTTATAACATAATGATTTCTTTCAACTGTACGAACAAATAATATAAAATCCAAATATGACATAACACAATACATTCTAATTATTATGTAATCAACTCTTGGTTTCAGCTTAAATAGAGCTAAGTGTTGGAAAAACTCATCCCACTGTGCTTAATTCTTCTCTCGCTGCATTACACCTTTAATTCTCTTTTCATGTTATTAACAAAATTAATCATCTCCATATATAATTTGATATGTGGCAAAAGCGGTAGTGCTGCAGCGGTCGTGATCACCTTAGATGCCTCAGACACGACACTTTGTCACACGTGCGAAAGGCAAAGGTGCAAATGTACATTGTGCTGCGGGCAAAAAAAAAGAGAATTTCGAACACTTTATTTTTTAACAATAGATCCGATGATTTAAATAATGGGTCCACCGGTTCTAGTGTAAATGTAAATTAGTTAATATAGATTTTAAATTGTTAATTTAATTGGTACGCAATACAATGGTGTAGACTTTAATTATTTGAGAATAATAGTCCAAAGTAATAAAAATAAATCCGATGATTTAAATAATAGGTCTATCTGTTTAAGTGCACGTATAAATTCTTGAATTGTTTATTTGATTGGTACACAATATAATTGTGTAAACTTTATTTTTAAATAGTGCATTATTTAAAAATAATAGTACAAAAGTAAAGTAATGAGTACACCGGTTTAAGTGAAAATTATCTTACATTATTGATTTAATGGGTAAACATATAATGGTGTAAATTTTATTTTCAAAGATTGTGGAGCTAATTTAGTTACATGTGTTTATAAAGAGTTATATGATGGTATATTCTTTGTTTGGAAAATTATGATTATTTTAAAAAAAAATATCAATTGTATAAATGGAAAAAAGAAGAAAAAAAGGAAAAAAATGGAGGGAGCCGTACGTACTACGTATATACCCATGTATGGAGTACGTACGTGAACTACAGGAGAAAGAGGAGAGGTGGGACCCATAGTATTTTGTTTGTTTTATGATTAGTTTTATCTAACGGTGTATAATATTGACCTACCAATTTTAATGAAAATTTAAAAGGTAGATGTTTTGCTTTTTTTCTTAGAATTTCTAGGATTTTCTCTAATTTATTAGAGCGTCACGTGACAACTTGAAAGCATTTGTAGGAAGTTTAATGGACTTTTAATAGTATATTCTTTGTTTGGAAAATTTTGATTATTTAAAAAATATCAATTGTATAAATGGAAAAAGAAGAAAAAAGGAAAAAAAAAAGGGGAGCCGTACGTACTACGCACCCATGTAAGGAGTACGTATTACGTAAGTGAACTACGGGAGAAAGAGGAGAGGTGGGACCATAGTATTTTGTTTGTTTTATGATCAATTTTATCTAACGGTGTATAATATTGGATCCACCAATTTAAGTAAAAAATAAGGAGTAGATATTTTGTTTTTTGCTTAGAATTTTTAGGATTTTCTCTAATTTATTAGAGCGCCACGTGGCAACTTGAGAGCGTTTATAGGAAGTTTAATGTACTTTTAGTATATAATAGATAGATTTGAACAAATATTACCCAAATTCATGAAAAAATTAAAAATTTGAAAAATTTCAGCTGAAATAATATCGTATCGGGGGGTGACCGAAATGACCGAAATTTCCAACCCTATACAAAGCAAATAAAGTTAATTAGTTACTACAAGAATATGATCTTCATATTTACCATTGATGAGATGCAACTTAAATCCACAACAAGCTAGCAACACATTGTTCACTTAGATTATGATTGGATTATGGTTATCAATTTCATTATAGAAACAAATTACATATTTGAAGAAACAAACTTATCAAACAGGATAAGCTTAAACAAAATGGTTTAATTAATACGATAGAAAGAAAATTCTATGAGAAAACGTATTTTTCAAACCGTCGAGGCGTCGAGGGAGTAATCCGTTTCAATAAGCTAGAAAGAACAAGGGGCTTCGTTTTCATCTTTATATCTGATGATGAAGTGGTGTGAATTTGAGCCCAAGAGGAATCACGTATCATCCTTAAATTTCTGCATCATATCAGCAACGAGAATAGCTAAAAAATTGCTTCTAACAAGTGCTGAAACACACAAAAATAGTAATTGAGTGGCACTTTATGCAAAGGACTAATGAGGGATAACAGCCAGCAGGTAGTTTCATTTTGCATAAAATCAATGGTTTGATTCGAAACTAGAACGACTATTTGAAGCGAGGTTAGATGATGCCTCCGGACTGATGCAAGGATTAATGTAGAGAAAACACCTAAAATTGAAGGACTAATGTAGAGATAGATTATTTTCAAAACGAAGAGAATTATATCCTTGCTGTAAGATAAAAAAAAGGATTTGCTAAATTTGGTGCGCCATATTTTGTTGCTAATCAGAGTTAGATTTTAGACCATTGATGCTTCGTTGAGATTCGTGTAGTAGTAGTAGTACGTGCGTAGGCTGTCTCTAAAATACGGTAATTAGCGGTATACAGGAACCACCTATTTAATTAATAGTAGAAAGATATAGGAATTCATATAAACAAGGTGATTAGCGGTATAAAGGAACCACGAACCACCTATTTAATTAATAGTAGAAAGATATAGGAATTCATATAAACAAATTTGAGTATCAGTAATTAGTATACAGGTTAGTTAGAATATAATTACATCATACTTACACTATAATTACATACTAATATTACATACTAATTATATATGTAATTTAGAGACTTATAATGTAAATACATGCTGACTATCTTTTGGTGAAAAAAATATAGCGTCTTTATATAGCTACTCCCAAAAAAAAACCAATAGATGTGCAAGACGAAGAAACCACATCTCTAATCTTGAGAAGCTGTAAAAAGAACTTCAACAACTAAACTCTGCTGACGGTAAGGAATTAACCAGCGAAGAAGAACAGCATGCACACTTCTTGCAAAATCATTTCCCTTTCTTAAAGCATTGTTCTTATCTGCACAAGCTAAAGCTTATTAACTTCTCATCTCACAACAAACAAACTAAGAGTAACAGCACCATCCCAACAAGAATTTGTTGGGCAATGCAACACGACAATGTACCAGATTTGCAAGATGGAAGCGAGAAACCAGCCAACGACCAACAGTTAGCCCATGTTCAACTGATCCATGGTCCCTCGGCGTTTGGCGGCAGCAACGGCGTTGAGCTGGAAAGAAACCCTCTGACCATGCTGCGGAAGCTGCTGCTGCTCCTGCAGATTGTTTGGACTAGGGTTGCTCGGGTTTGAGGTTGGAGTAGGGTTGGCTCCTGCATTGTCATCTTCTGTTTCTTCAAACTGAGGCGGTGGCTTCAACGGAGCTAGGAGCTGGTAATTTTGGCTCAACAGCGTGTCCTGCTCTGGTGGCAGAGGAATTGAGCCAGGTGGAGCAATCGACTTGGGTAGCGGGATTTTGTTCCGGTTCCGTGCCACCTCAAGGAGAACCTGTCAAAGGAGAAAATGACTTGTATTAGATGGAAGACGACTTGAATAAGCACAAAATCATGGGGTCCTCTATGCCATCATTTAAATTATAAATCGCCAGAGAGGAATAACATTTTTTATTTAGTCAACAACATTTTGTATATTTTAAATATTTTTTTCTAATTTACTTTACTCATGTAAATACCATCTGATCCCAACAACCAAACAACAGCAGGAACCATCGATCTCATCCCTCTAACCAAAGGACCAACTTAGACGTATCATCCAAAAAAAAAAGCAAGACAATCTAAGTCTCCCAGAATCTCCACCAGGGCTTTCATTCATTGGCACGTGTATCATTAACCATCAAGGGCAAAAAGAGAGCAATTACATTCATGTTGGTGATGAAACACCAATTGCATGATATAGTAAAATCAGCAATTCTACATGTTGAAAACCTTCAGTGGCTGCCTACTGACAAAAATACAGAATAAATCATAACATGGCTCCTTTTAATGCTTGTATAGCATTTATGGGGAGAGAAAATCCATCATATCCCACAACAAAAATGTAATATGTAATCTTTAATTCCAAAGGGATCAAATTAAATAACAAAATCTTCCAATTTGTGATCAGAACAGTACTTAAGAACATATTGTTAGATAATTAAGAGCCCATACTTGACCACAACTATTAATAGCCTTACCTCAGTGGTGCTCCTAATGTAAAAGTTAAACCTTGGTTGGTTGTTGCCATAAACCTAGCCGTGCATTCTAAAATTAAATAGGCCCAGCATGGTAAGCGCGGCACAAGGTGTGGGAAAGTCCCAGCTGTCAGACCACTGCATGGATGCCTAGGCACTTATGAGGAAGCAACACCATATGAACTAGAAGATAATACCTAATGGATGAGGAAATAGCAAGCAAAAAAGGCCAAAGAATCCACCAGGCCACCAAACACAAGAAGCCCAACTACTTATTTTTGCCTCACTCCTGGCATCGTACCCTTTGAGCCACCTGCAAACAATGCTACCGCCAGAACAATGAAGACAGAGAAGAGTTGGACACATGCCACTGCCAGTGAGCAACCCAAAGCCTCAGCGCCTAATCAATGATAAGGGAATAAGCAATCAAGTGAACTATAAGGCAAAAACAAAATAATCATGCACTGGCACAAATGCACATAACAGTTCTATTTCGTGGTTGTTAGGACATACAAATTCCTGAAACAGCGATTTACAGTAAAACACTCTTGGCCAGATTAACCAGCAAATCAGCAGATTCAGAAAAAAACATGGCCAGCTGATAAGTATTCTTCAAAGGGGTCTGAAGAAAAGCTCATCAATGTGTTGTCACATGAAGAGGTGGGTACTGGAAGATCTTTAGTGAGTTGAGAAATGTAAGTGTAAGAAAAGGCTAAGTATAGTAGTGTGGTACAAGAATAGAATGGCATGTAATATCACTGTTTCATCTAATGACTGCAAGTCTGCGGCTTGAATAATATAATTGTTTTCAATACCAATAATCCACATGTACCAGATATTCAGACTGCAAAGAAGCAGACGTTCAACTGTGGATAATCAGTCTTACAATAACTAGATAAGACGGGGGAAAATAACCTGTGGTGTTGTTCCACAGGAAACATGTTGATCATCAAAAACATTCCTCACTACATTAGCACTCATTTCAATATAATTTTCTTTGTTTTGTTATGGGCACGGGCCAGGCCCATGTGGCAGTTTAGGCATGATAAACTAGGAGTAAATCAAATAATGTTAGGAAGGAGATGAGGTTTATAGTAAACTAGAGAGGCATTGGATTGGTTTCTACAATATTAGAGATTAGTTCCTTAGATGTTAAGGAAGTCTGTCCGCTCTATCTATAAAGGGACCCCATATACTCTATCGTGAATCAATCAATGAATCTCTTGAAGTTAGCCCTAAGCCTCAGAGCCTTTTTTAGCTCAGCAGGGGTAAGCCCTGCCAGCACTATTAGAGGGCGAGAGCCCTATCTCCTGATCTTCGGACCCTTACCCTATCTAATCCATAACATATTTACTTAAAAAAGTAATCCCTCCAATTAATGCAAGGTGCCCCATAATCATTGAAATGGTGGAAATCTGATACTCCAAATATCATTAATGGATTTCAGAGCTGATAGGTTCTAGCATAAGTCCAAGAGCATAACTTTGTTCAGATTTTTTTTATTTTTTGAGTGAATTAACATCAATAAGAAAGGAAATGACTGTACTCTTCTCGTAAACAAGTCAGATTTGGACTTAGTCAAAACTATGTAAAAGAATAATCTTCCAATGGACATCAATGAGATTCAAAAAGTTCATAGCTGATTGATTCTAGCATAAGCCAAAAAGTGTATTAAAAAATTTGTTGAGCTTTTTCATTTTTTTAGTGAAATCAACATCAATAAGAAACGAAATGACTGTGCTTCTCCTAAACAAGTTAGATTTAATCCTAACATTGTAAAGATTTCTTTCCCTTTTTGAAATTGTAACATGGTTAGATAAAAACAAATAACTTAAGGTTTAAGTTGGCTGCTTCTGTTGATTGGCACCTTTCCTTAACAGTAATTCTTAGCTGGACTGTCATACTAATGTGGTGCTACAACTTTAAACCATGATTTTCCATACCACTGGTCTAAAAGGTGTTAGGCACTAAATAGATGGCGCGTAACCATTTGATTGGTCAGCCTAGGTCACCTAAAGGAAACCCCAAGCGCATATGCAGCATAGACAATGGAATACTGGCACCACATTTATTTTTCCCCGCCAAAACAAGTGAATACAATTAATTTAACTACAAATAAGTAGGCAGTGCAGAGTCTGCAATAAGTTTCAGTATGCATATTGCATGGCTTCCATATTGTCAATCATCCACAGCCGCACACAAGTTTCGAGCCTTCACCAGCATACACACTACATTCTGCGCATATATTAAGATTAATAACTTTTTATATTTCAAAATATAACTATTCTTAGATGAAAGGCCAAAGAACCCTGCTTTTCATAGAAAGCATAGCAGATACATATGTTCACCACCATCAAAGCATAGGCAGATACATATGTTTTGCTAGTGATAGAATTATCACAACCATGCATGTGCATACATGGTTCCATGTTTAATGGATGAAGCCATGGAGGTTGAAAACATGGCATCTCTATGAGAAACTACAATCAGAATATGTAGAAATATCCGGCTTCAAGTTTACTTATATGATTTGTATTAGAGACTTTCCTGCTGCTTTTACATAAAAGAAGAATGTTTGCCTGTTATGGTTGATTCTATGGGAATATCAGTATTCCACTGAGATAACAAGAACCAGGCTGCTAGCTATTGGAAAAGGCTAGGTCAACACATGAACAGGTTGATTACAGGTATGTAACAAAATTTTACCATGGAAAAGAATAAAGGATTATCGGATGGAAGGCTTCGACTTCGGAAGTCTTGATCACTATGAAAGAATTCACTACACTACATGAATCATAATACAGAACAAACTGGTAATAGTATATTATTGGCCCACCAGAAAGGTATGCGATGAGAGCAAAATAGCAGATACAACCAAGCAGTGCTAAACAATTCAATCCCAAATTTCTAAGGAGCAGGAACATTATCCCTGGATTCAGCCATCCATCTTATCCAGAGTCTACATGCATACAAACAATTCCAACAACAGGGCAAAATGACCAAAATCACATCAGTATTAGCCAAAAATGCAAGCCTCTAGTGCAATCTTATGTTTTTCACCCACTAATCCAGCGCAATCTACAGCAATTCAACCAAACCATAATTCCCCCCGCCCAAAAGCCGGATCGAGTGGCATAAAAGCTAGGGTTTTACGGATCTGCATTTAAGAAACGCTAGGGGCACGGCAACAATCTACGATTCTAGCACAGGAAATCCCATCAAGCAACTAAAGAATCATAAGAATCCGGCAAAAAGGGGTGAAATGGAAGAAGAGATACAAGATGGGGGGATTGGGGTTTACCTCGCGGGGCGGCGGCTGGGAGAAGGAGAAGTTGACCTTGGACTGGATGGCGAGGCGGACGTCGTCGGCGTCAAGCTGGGGCTTCCCCGCGTGGTCGGCGTAGACCTGGGCGTCCCCGAGCACGTCGCCGACGTAGCGGTAGGCCAGGTCGAGGAACTGGTGCACCACCCGCGGCTCGTACTCCCCCTCGCTCAGCCCCATGGAGCGCAGGAGCTCCCGCACCACGCGCGCGTCGCGGGGCTCGTCCGCCGCGGACGCCCCCGCCCCCGCCCCCGCAGCCGCGGCGGCGGCGGCGGCGGCGGCCGACTGGGGCGCTGGGCGCAGGCCGCCGGGGTCCATGGCGTCAGGTGTCGCGGCGGCGGCGGCGGCGGCGGCGGATGGTGGGGTTTCGATTCGGGCAGCCGCTCTACTGTAGACTAGGGAGTAGGGAGAGGTATTTGTATGTGCCCTTTAGGGTTTCTTCTTTTTAATTTTATTCGAAAATTTTCTTCCAAAATAATTTTTTATTCGAAAATTTATTCATGGCTAGTTTTTTTAAAAAAAATTGTTCAAAATTTATTCTGGCTAGTTTTTTTATTATTTTATTCGAAAATTTATTCTTGGCTATTTTTTATTTTATTTGAAAATTTATTCATATGAATGTGGACAATGCTAGGAAGTTTATCCATAATAATAATAAACTAGCCATGAATATATGTGTAGATTTAATAAGTTTCATATAAATGTGGGCAATGCTAGAAAGTCTTACATTATGAAACGGATGAAGTATTGTTTCCATGACTTTGGCCAAACATATGGATTTTTTTTTTAAGATTACTCTTTTGGGGGACTTTTAGTGATTTTCAGTGACCAAACAATGCATCATTGTAGGTAGGATCATGGTGTATCCGATGGATATATTATCTTGAAAATAATTGATATAACCATACGACTGGTAGTAATATACAACTACGAGATATTCTCTATACCCACAAATATTTGTTCTAATACATAACCATCTGATAAAACTTTAGGTATCCTAGTCTATAATTCATCTAGGTGTGTATTAAGATGGTAAACTCGTAGGTGTGTGCATGTATAGTATGTGTATCTTCTCTATAATTATAAAAACATTTATGTGTGGTTTTATATATACTTTATAATATAGTTTGCTGTTTAAAGTTGCATTTTGAGAGAGGACATAATTTGTGCCTAGACAAAGTAGTACGATGGTGTTTAATCTCCAGCTTTAATAGAGATACGACGATGTTTCATCAATGCAGTGTTGGATCTTTCGCAATATGGACTTATAGTTTTCTTAAATAGCGGATATACTCTGCATGTTGTAATGGGTATTTAGAAGGTAAATATGCACAGGTAATACCTAAAAGGACAGTATTTTAAGGATTATAGTGATTAATGAGAAATAGTAACTAACGTATGAACAGTTATGATAAGAATGAGGGGTTATAAAAACCGCATTTGGTACTTTTGAATAACTTTCTTTTTTGATGATTTTGAATAACTTGCTCCTATCTTCATACCATAAAAAGTGCAATTCTAGCACTCAAAAGAAAAAAAATATACGGAAGATAAATGATGTAGATACCCCTCATTGTGAGGGGTGGTTAGGAGCTTAAGAGGATGATTGGGGCAATATGAGAATAAATCTTAAAGACCTAATGCAGGGTCCAAGATCTTGCATCCTATTGGGCCACGTGGCATCTTAGAAATAAGGCAAAGCCCCCTCCCAAAATCTACCATGTGTCCAGGGAGATGCTCTAATGTACTATATCTATGAATGCTCTAGGTAGGGAAAAAAACTAAATATATTAGTTGGCCCCTGAATTCTCTAGAAAAGTAAAGAAGTTACCTAAAGAAAATGAAGAGGTAACCTTTGTATACTAAGAAGAAGTGACTATTTACTATCCCCTTCATGCATAGGGCACTAATAAAGGAGAATGTAACTACTCCTACTCCACACACACAACAATCAATCCAGCTAGCTATCGATCTCTCCAACGCTCGGTTAGCTTAGATCTATCACCAGCACCAGTACTATCGATCGCTCACCCAAATCCATTCGCCATCACCATCCACTTCCAACATCGGCGCTGTTACTCACCCAAATCGCTTGTCACTGCCATCCACTTCCACCACCATGGCTCAGATCCATCATCATCAACTCCACTAGCAACTCAAGCCTTCCTCCATAATGTCATCGCATCGGCGCTAGCTCCTGCAATTGTTGCACCTCTAAAGGGTGTTTTGCGTATTTATAGAGATATACTACAATAAACTTAGATAAAATATACATCATTAATTTATACAAGAGCAATGTAACGATGAAAATCAACTAATTATAGGAATAGAAATTGACATCCCAATATCATAGTACAACCCTTCTAGAAATCTAATGTTCTTGTGGAGTGATCTATGGGGGGCATCAAGTTTTCTTTTATTTAAGCTGGCAACCGTTGATTTAATGGTAGAAAGGGCACCATTTTCTTGAGTTTTCGCCAGTTGGGCTAGAATAATTGCTATAGGTAAAAGAGCCAAAACAATCATCCTATTTAAACTAGGGAGGGACAATGATGACTCAGGCTTCCTATTCTGTGGTAGCGATGTGGCCTCAAGGAGGAGGACCTAGTACTTGGTGAGACGGCCGATGGTGTCGAATGAAAGCCGAAGAGGACAGGGGTGAGGGAGGAAGTAGAAGTAGATATCAATGCAGGTGATGGTTGATCATAACGAACGAGAGATGCCGAGAAGGAATTGATCTGGATGCTAATAAATAAAAACACACATTCTCGGTTTTCTCCTCGAAGAATCAAAAGTTTACATAACTGACCCGTTAAAGTGTTGTACAGGTTGTCCCATTGATATTTCCTATTGGCTAGGCCATTACGCGACAAAGCCGTGTTTCTTTTCTAGTTTGAATGAAGAGCGGCTAAAGGACAAGGTAGCATTGTATTGTTTGTATTGTATTGTTTGTGGGACGAAACTTGAATATTAGAACGGTACTCTTTGTGAGATGGAGAGTAGACACGTAGGATCAAAATCGTTCTGGTTTGGAGGGGGGATTGGGGGTAATGTCCCTTTTTTTGAGTTTGAGGGATAATTCGGTCGACCGCGATAGTTCGCGGGGGAGGGGGATTAGTACTTTTTCCTTTTCTTAACTATAGATTGAATCTGATTCGTATCCCTAAACCGTAAGACCATATATATCGACGTCTTCAAGTTGTATATGGTTTTCACTTATATGACATATACACTATAGCCCAGTCACCAAAAAAATTGAAAAATACAAGTGGGACCTATATGACGACATCCCCTCTATATCATAGATCACGACATCTCTTACTAGAATTTGTGATCTAAGGCGTTTGTACACCGCCGCGCTACTACTTCACTGGGCCGTCCATGATGGCGCGTCTCGCCCTGCTCCTCCTGCTTGACCCACCACTAAACTGCGCCCATTCACAACGTATGTAACTTTCTTTAGTTAACAACATCATCTATCCTTTCACAACGTATGCAACGTTCTTTAGTTAACAACATCATCTATCCATACATATACTTCTCTCGTGATCCTTGATCGACAGCGGCGGAGCCAGCGTGGGGGCGGGGGGGCTCGAGCCCCCGCTACCCAGCTGGACTCCATGGAAATTTGAGGGAGGAGAGGAGGAAAAAGAGTAAGAAGAAAATGGGGGGAGAGGGGGCTGGAGGAGGAAGAAGGCTGAGCCCGTGGTAGCACACCGCCAAAATGGGACGCAGGTGCAGCTCAGCTCTGTGCCGACGTTCAGGGCGGGGACGCGCCAAAACCACAAGAGCTGACCCGACCGCGTCGACGTTAGTGAAACAGGAGTTCTGCCGATGATGAAGACAACGCGTGAGATACAGAAAGAGATCACATGTGAAACCGATTAATGTTTGTTACTGATGAAGTGGCAATTACGGATGGTTAGCTACATTAACATTGACGCATGAGGATTCACATTTCATTGACACATGCTTGTCAAATAGTTAAAACCAATAAATCTGAGCCTACATTGCCATTAACATATAAGTACCCACATGCCATTGACATGTGTGGCAAGTACTTAAACGTAACAAATAGTTAAATGTCCAACGTGGCAAATAGTTAGATGTTCCGGATGAAGCGTGTAGGCTTTAGCAGACCCATAACTGATAAATATTCGCTACATTATTTACACGATATTACAAAGAGCTCTTTAAGAATAAACAGTTCATATTTGCAGGAACGCAGAGTTACAATCGGTGAAGGCAAAAGGCATACCAGTTCAGTAGGCTTTGTATGCGACTATGTGACGGCATGAGATTTGCATCCAATGCTCTCCTCTGCATATTTAAAAGAAAAACAAGAGTTCTTTTGGAGGAACGTGCTTCTTATTTACTGAATTGAAGTCAAAACGAATCCATGATATTTGATTCCTTGATATACGTATTCTAAAATCTCTAGGAATAATTTCTGCTAGCATGTCATTAAAATATTCAGTGAAGCAGCTGAGCACGTTAGTACGAAACGTCTTCACATTGACACGTCTATCCGGTTGTTATGCAGCAGTAACGTGTCAAAGAGCCTATTTGGGGAAGATTCTAAGAAGCAGCAGCTTGTTGGCAACCAGCTTCTAAGAATCTAGAAAAGTTGGGTTTAACAGCTTCTGGCTTCTAGTTCATTTTCTGGATTCAACAACTAATCTGAATCTAGACCAAAAGCTGGACTGTTTATCCTGGAAGAAGCTGCAGCAGCTAGAAACTCCCCCAAACAAGACCGAAAGCCACATCAAATAAATCAACCAAAAATACACACTAGTCGTGTTTGAAAATTACAATGTGACTGACGAACAACACTGTAATTCGGAAATTAAGATGTGCCAGGAGGATGTGCCAGGAGACAGGTAACACTGACGCGGTGTAACAAGGCGCCATGCTGTTTAATTCTGGCCGAAATCAATCTATGCTTCTCTCTACAGAATGACCAAACAATTATATCATCAGGCCATTCATCCAGTCGTGAAGCAACATCGCCAGGATTTTTTTTTTTTTGCACTTCAAAAAGAGCACAGGCACAATCGTTTTGTCTCAGTTAAGGCCTCGCAGCAGCATTAGAAAACACATATAAAGAACTCTAACAAAAAACAGATCTATGAATTTAGTTGTACCAAGAGCACCCTCAAAACATGTCCAGATTTCACCAGACATCGCTGAAACTTAACTTGAAACACGAATCAGCCCTCTAATTTAACATAACCACAAATCTCCATGGGGACCACCAAAGAATAGACACGTTCAAAATAACTAGACAACAGGTATATGCATAGATCGATGAACCCCTCAGTTCAGGTCTCCAAATTGTTCTTCCACATTACAACTTCAGAAGAACGAAAGTATAAAAATACATCATCATCGGAGACAGATCAATCCAACAAAGAAACCAAAGGAGTAAAACAGATAATCCAACAAAGAATTTTTTTTGCATATTTGTTGCGTTGCGAACAGCCTCAGACCATCCTAGTTCATAATTAGTATCAACAAAGCTCCAGAAACAACAACTGTATGCTAATTCTGAAACCTTATCATGTGTTGGCCAAGATCCAACAATCCACAAACACAAAAAAATAACTTAATCAGCCAAAAAAGCATAAAAGAAGTTGTATAAGAATTAATGTGTCAGATTTAAGTATTCTCAGCACCCTTAGAAAGGAATCAGACAGGGATAACTGTATTTACTTGTGATTTCATCATTCACCTTGAAAGGAAGGCAATGCAATGAAATTAGCAAGACGTACTACATAAAACTTGAAGAAAAAAAAGTTTTAGGGAGGAATCTACCAGATGTTCCTATTCAATATATCAATATAAAAGAATAGTCACAGTACAGAAAAATCAACAGATTGGGCACAAAAATTTTTTGCATCATGTATATCCCTTACAAAGGGATAAAATTTGCATGAAAAAGAAGACTGCAAATATATGTGGCGTTTCCAGGATTAGAATGGCACCAAGAACACCAACAATCAGGATATGACCACACATCAAAGAATATCATCTAGCGTCCGAGCCATTACACCGTGAGGAACAGTATCCTCCAGAATTGGTAATGGACGCGTCTAAACAACAACCTGATGTAAAAACCAACTGTTTGATTTGTGAGATATGGAAGTTCAGACAGCCAAGGGTTTAGTCTTCAACTACCACAAAGTAGCAGTATCAGAAACTCTAGTCCAAATAAAAATTGTTCTTCATCACTCCCATATCAAAGCGCTTGTTGGAAATAAAAAAAAACAATAGAAACAAAAATAACCATTGTGATAGACCAAAAAGAGGAGCTCAGACAACCAAAGGGTTTGGTCATCAAACACTGCGTAGTGTTATCAGAAACCCTAGTCCACAAAGAAGTTGCTCATCACCACATGTTCAGATTTATAGCAATTACTACAATATAGTCGTTATAATAGTTGCCAACATCAAGGATTGGCTAGTATATGTATTCTATTACTGCATGATAATTTTAAGATTAGAAAATACAGCCACACCATAAGAGTTACCCTAGAACACACTAAACAAGGCAAAATCCTAACATGTTATAAAACTAGATTTAACCCTCCCCATGACCATGTATCTGGTTCACCAATGCAAAATTAGCATCAGATACGCAATGCAATAAAGCAAATGATTCAACATTAAAAATAATTATCATATAACCCTGCAAGATCATGTAGCAATCAGATTAGCACGCGGCAGACGCAAATATTGATATAGACCGGCATAATCATGTAATTCAAAACTCCTGAATTGCCACCACAGATTCAAGTAGCCATACCATACAGTAGTAACATCCATAACAGAAAAAGCACAAGAGCTAAATCAAAGTCTTTTGAAGGATAAAGAAACTAGCGCCTTAGATATCAAGAACCCTCCTCCCTCCAACTCAACTCCCAAGTATGTAGTACCTAGGCGGTGAGGAGGACGGCGCCGCCGGCGGCCTTGATCTTCTTCTCGGCGACCTTGGAGATGAGCTTGGCCTTGACGACGATGGGCCTCTGCGGGGGAAGCATCCCCTTGCCGAGCACCTTGGTGTAGCCGAACTGGGTGACGTCGATGACGGGGGCCTTGCCGGCGCCGGCCTCGGCGGCCTTGTCGGTGGGCACCATGGACCAGAGGCGCTCGACGTTGACGGCGGGGCAGTGGAACCTGTTGCTGAGCTTGTGGAAGTAGCGCATGCCGACCTTGCCGAAGTAGCCCGGGTGGTACTTGTCGAACAGGATCCGGTGGTGGTGCATCCCTCCGGCGTTACCGCGGCCTCCGGGGTGCTTGCGGTGCTTCCCGATGCGCCCGTGCCCGGCCGACACGTGGCCGCGCTTCTTCCGGTTCTTCTTGAAGCGCGTTGTCATGGCAGCGGCGGAGTTGCGAGCGGCGCGGCGGCGGAGGCGGGGGCCGGCGGGGTGGGAGGGAAGAGGCGAAGGTGGAAGAGAGAGTGGGGCGCGGGCTATATAGCGTCCGGTGAATGGGTATTGGCCGTTGGATCGTGAGGTGGGGTGGTCGTCACCGTTGGATGCGGGGGAGTTAGGGTTTTGGGGGCGTCGAGGGAGTGAGGTGGGCTTGGGCCTCTCGCTGTGTCTCGATTGGAGTGGGCTCCTCTATTGGAAAAAGTCCAATTTGTGTCCTTCTAATATAGGTCGGATACCCTTTGATTTATGGGTAATTTGCAACAATGCCATTATAATTTTACAAAGTTTGAGATATGTCATCGGTATCTCAATGACACGTAGGACCCACATGAGTCAATGACATGTGGGTCAGGATGGCATATCTTAAATTTTACAAAATTATAATGGCATGGTTCCAATTTTCCCTTGATTTATATCCCTCATCCATATAAAACCGGGTATAATTAGTCATTCAACTGTTCAAACCATGCAAAATACTACTAACTCGTATGACAGTATTGACGGTGGTTTTCACGGATGTAGCACAACCGTCCTACGTGGCAATTTTAGCAGGAAAATAAACCATAAGCTAGCCCACATCTTGGTCACCAGAGAAGCGTCGCCGTCGACTCATCCCCGTTCACCCGGATCGTGAGGTAACGAATTCAGATATCCACTATCGAGCCTTGCAGTGATCTTTCGATCGAGCTATGTAAGGCTGAGTTTATTCTGTGTGCCAAAATTTTTTTTTAAGTATGTGGACATACATTTGAAGTATTAAACGTAGACTAATAACAAAACAAATTACATATTTCGTCTGTAAACTATGAGACGAATTTATTAAGCCTAAGTAATCCATCATTAGTAAATATTTATTGTAGCATCACATTGTCAAATCATGGCATAATTAGGCTCAAAAGATTCGTCTCGCAATTTACAGTCGGACTGTGCAATTGGTTTTTTTTCGTCCACATTTGATGTTCTATATATGTGCCTAAACATTTGATGTGACGAAAAAGTTAAAAGTTTGAAGAAAAAAGTTGAAATCTAAACACGGCCTAAATTGAGAGTGAGAATTTTGCTTGTTGCATTTGAAAATTCGAGGCAGACATCGGGTCATCATCTCCAAGATGGTCGGACTCCAGCACAGTCTACGTCATCACGATTCACGGAAGGCGGCAATGTGACGTTAGTGCGTAAGGTCATCCACCGGGCGCCGGTTGTCTCGTCGTACTGCAGAAAATGACACCTCCTCCTTCAACCACGACAACAAGATCAACTCGGGGAGGCCGGGGCGGAGCGGGATGTCTTCGGCGTGTTTATGGTCATACTTTGTCACACCACACTTTTAGATGTCACAGTTTGTTAGGTATGTGTTTGGTTCACTGCCACAGTTGTGACTTGCCACATTTTTTCAATAAAAAAATTCGATACATAACACAGAAAACAACTCGGTATCAAAAAATAGCACAAAAATTTCCCGCTTTCGACTAGAAGCATAGGACATCCTTTTTTTTTTCGATTCGTAGCACTTCCGTCGTGGTAGTAGTTATGGTCGAATGTTTAGCCGTGAGTTGACACATGCAAATACCAATTTGCCCCTGGTTCTATCCCTGTGGCATATGGGACTGTTAGTGTTAGATTGTACCGGCTCCTTTTGTTAGTTCGGTCGTTTTTGCAAGGTGTTCTCCAAAAGAAATGGTGATGATGGTGGTTGTTTCCGAGGTGTCGCATGCTGCGGAAAAGGGCGACGACGGCTTGCAAGGCGCCACGGGGCAGGGCAACGACGGCGGCTGCGAGTCGCGGCCGCTTGGTTGACGACGGTGGCTGATGGAGGGGAGACGGCGGTTACTTGTCACTATTACTGAGTACCGGAACAAATCAGTGAATAATTCTTAGGATTTTTGCTTCTTTTGCTATCTCTACCATGCATTGGCGACTAGAAATCAGCATGATTGAAGTTCTTGTAAGCTAATGGTGGTTACTGCAAATGATACAGCTTTAGCTAGCTTATAGTGTTTGAGCTCGATTAGGATGAAAGAATTGCTCAACGGATGGAGAAATGGCCGGATTAGCAGCCAATCCAGTCGAGGCTCTCGGCGACGGCACGCATTGCGGGGGCGTAGGTCCGCGTCGAGCTCGATTGGTGCAATCGAGGTCGGCATGGAAGTGGAACATGGTGAGCACCTCACTGGGCAGTGTCAGGTCGACGACCTCCGACGACAGCCGCTCCTCCTTGAAGACGTGTCGTGCCTACACCTCCAGCTCTCAACTGCTCCTCTCCTCGTCAACCTGCGCCACGGTCACCGTCTCCAGCAGCATGATCCCGAGCGTGAACACGTCACCCTTCTGAGTCGCCACGACCACTCCGACGTACGCCAGCGCTGAGCCACCGATAGAGCCTCACCCTCGCTATGCAGCGAGCGTGCCACACTACTGAGCTTCTTCGACTGCGTCGTCTTGTACTCTTGTGAGCGTCGGCGACGAGACAGGCGAGGCCGAATCCAGAGCTTGTCGTTGAAGACGATAGTAGGGGAGAAGCTTCTCGTCAGGCTCGGGGTAGTAGGCGCAGTGGTGGGTGACATTGGGGTAGCGTGCGCGGCCGACGGCGGTGGCCTTTGCCTCGAATGCGCGGCGCTAGCGCCACCCAAAAAGAAGGGTAAATTAGTCCGACGATAATTTTATCTCCTCTAATCTAACGTCGTTTAATCAAAATGGGACGGAAGTGTTACAAATCGAAGAAAAATAGGTGGCATGTGCTTTTGAGCGAAAGTGAAAACTTCTTGTGCTATTTTTTGGTACTGGGTTATTTTCTGTGCTATGGATCGAATTTTCTCTTTTTCAATAGCATGTCCCACATGTTATAGACTCAATTTTCTTGTCAACTTTGCACACTTTGTGACTAGCAATTTGCCCACCATACTTTTATGACTGCCACAACTTGTCTAACGTTTGTTGTGACAAAGTGTGGCCGGCAACCAAATACACCCTAGTTCTATAGCGGGCCATACCTGGTGAAGTAGGTTGCGTTGCCTCCTGAGCTCGCAACAACCTTCAGCCTAGCTCGTCGCACTCCGCATCCATCCAACATCCTAAGGTTGCTACCCGTTGTGTTAACCCCCAGCTCCGGCGCATCCATTCGCCGCTGCCAGTTGCGTTGCCCTAGAGCTCCACATCCTTCGGCCTCCGCCACCTTGAGCATGCACTGCGTCCTTCCACCCTCCCATGGTGTGCTCGGCCTCATCAGCGGTGGCACGGTATGCGCTCTGCAGATGAGGAGCTCGACTTCAAGGCGTGCCATGCCGCTGAGGACGCTGGGCTGTCCGTGTCATTGAGCTCGGCAAACTTGAGAGCATGGTAGGCATTGCGCTCTGATGACAATAAATGGGTGCGCGTCGACGGTGACATAAGAAGTGGGTGCATGGTGACGCTGACACGCTTCGCTTCACGTTAGACCACCGCCGCAGGAGGCAGGGACTGGTCGGAGACAGGGACTAACACGAGGAGCAGGTCATCACCGACTCCTCTCCGCCACCTGAGCTGGGTGCGACTTCGGTCCGACCACCATCACCATGGCGCAGCCTCCCGTCAGTGGCTGCCGCTCTCTCTGCCACTGCTAGAAAAATGATTTTCACAGGCAACCAAAATAGATATTCACTAGCGGCTAGCACAACCGCCAACGATATACGGCTAGTTAAAATAGACGATTTTTGCTAATGGTTATGATTCATATGTGAAAATTGATTTTTCCAAGCGAACATGTTAAGAGAACCGACTGCGAAAAACCATTTTCATAGACAGCATTGCTAAGAGGACCGCCAACAAAAAAATGTTTTCCTATCAAAAAAATAAAAAAAATCAAAATGTTTGGCTGCATTTTCAAATCCACATATGAAGTTCCAAATTCAAATCAAATATCCAAAGAGCACTACACCGATTTTACTCCACTTTCGACATGCAAGCATCAAACACATGCATCAGCAGTCATCATCGCAACGCCGTTCAAAATCCCTACCACCTAATCCATTCATCAATCACAAATCCATTCATCAATCACAAAGTTCATCACAAAGAGAAGGGGAAGGAAGGAAGGATGGGGACGGAGCTGGACCACTGCCGCCACATTGGATCCGACCGCTGTCTCCACCACCACCTCCATGCATCACTGTCGCTGGATCCACAGGCTCCAGGCCCATCGCCGTCGTCCCCTCCTGCGCACTGCTGCCACCATGGATGAGCCATCGCCACCACCCGCCGCCCGCCTCCCTCCGCCCAGATCTAGGAGAGGGCGGGTAGGGGGAAGCATCCGCCACTAGACACTTTGTTGTTGCCACCGCCGGTAGCCTCCTCCCCATCGGCCATTTCTGGAAAGAAGGAGGGGAGGAAGGGGAGGAGAGGTGAGTTGGGGAGCCACCGCTGGTGCCCTCTCTATTGCTTTCGCCGTTGCCAGTCTCCTCCTATCTGGATCCGTCACCGCCATTTAGATCCATCGGCGAATCTAGGGCCACGGCACAGTCGCCATCGAGTTCGCCACCGCAGAGACCGCATCGGCAACTCCGCTAGTGGGGAGAGAGGAGAAGGATGCGATGGCTGGCGGTGGGTAAGGGAGGTGCCGCCAGTAGGTCGATCTGGAGAGGAGAAGGAGGACGAGTGGGGGAGAAGGAGGAGGCGGTGGGTGGATCTGGAAATTCCATGGGTGGCAGTGGGAGATGGTTTTTTTTAGCGTCGCCAATTATTTTAGTGTGGCGATGTTTTTCTTTTTGATGGTGCTCTTTAGTTTCTGACAACGAAAATGCTTCATTGGCTGTCACTTAAGAGATCCGCTTGTAGAAATAGATGTATTTTTGCAAGCTGATCTCTTGATAGCCAGCAATTTTCGTTGGCGGTTGGTGACCGGAATTCATTTTAGATATCTTTACAAGTGCGTGTTCACTAAATCCGCCAGTAAAAATAAAGGGTTGGTGCTATGAAAAATAGCTTTTTAAGTAGTGCATGCCTCCCGCTGCGCCTCTCCTTGCTGCCGTGTAGAGAGGCGGAGAGAGA